GCCAAGACAGGGTAAGATGGTTTTGAAAAATCTCTTGCCTGTTAAAAATGATCTGTCAGTTATTCTAGGCCTTAGTCAAAGTTGGTTGCTTCAACGCTGCAAACAGGTTTTTGGTGATTGCCCAGGTAGCCAGTTGTCTCTGTGATTTGTTGCATGTTTAGGAAGTTCTTTGATTGCACTTCCTAATTACTCAGGTAACATTATTTCCCTTCTCGGATCTTCTATGGGGTTGAAGACTAGATAAATGTAGCTACTTTCCTCTCAGGACTTGGCCAAGTTATTTATTATACAAGACTTTAGCTAGTTAGAATAGGATATTTGTACTTATTGTATATAATTGTGTAGGTTTGTACTTACGGTATATAATTTCATAGTAGGCTTAGAACTCTCTTACTTAAACAAAAGGGGGAGGTGCTGCGGGAGTACCTTCCGCTGCTTCAGCCAATTAGTCATGAGCGCCTTCCGCTCCATCAGCCAGTAGCTACTGAAATACCAGCCCACTGGGGCATGGTATATTTCTCTTTAAAAGAAGAGAGGCAAGCCTCGGCTCGGCCTCTTGGTTCCAGCGCTTGGTTCTGGCTCCTGCTCCAGCGACCAGGCTCCTTTCCTGGTCGTGTATACATGGTTTGTGTATATGTAAGTTTTACCCCCCAAAATAAATATCCCCTTTAAAACCTAACTGGTGTGGGATTGATTCACCATTACTGGTGTGCACCTACGCTGGTGTGTACATACACTGGTGTGCGCCTACTCTGGTGTACACCTACACTGGTGTGCGCATACCTACACATAGACATAGACGTAACTAATTTAAAAAAAAACAGTTATGTTACTTCCAGCAGCATCAGATGTATGAAGCCCAGCGTGTGGCCTCTAAGGGGCATTTCTGAGCCAAACCATGACAACCATGGTGGAATGTGGCAGTGGAGTGGGTGTGGGCTGGAGATGCGCCAAATGGGCCAGAAGGAAAGGTTGGGCTAGGGCAGGACCACCACAGAGTGGGCCAGGTGCCTGGTATGGAGTTAGGCTGTCCCCTTCTGTGGTCTGTCACCCTGTCAGTAAGAATGATCAGCCAGCTCTTTCCGTCTCAGGGAACCGAGGCCGAATGGGCGGGCGGCTGGGTTCCCAGGCCAAATCCTATTCCCTCTGCTCCATGACCTCTGGAAGCTGAGGACACTGCGGATGGAACCTTCAGTTTCGACCCTGTGTTGTGTGCCTGACTTTTCACCCGAGAGCAGGGACCCTCTCCAGGGAAAGCAGGGCAGGGAGTGCCCCCGGCCCCCAACCCTGTGGTGGCAATGGCCTCCACCAGCGGGTGGAAGCGAGGACTCCATGGGAGTGACGTGGCCTGTTCATGAGCGGTGGGAGAAGCTGCTCCCTCCCCCACCCACCACCAGACAGGGAAACCCGCCAGTGATCGCGTGATCACACGCGGGGACTCCCCAGTGCCGCCCGAGCTACAGATGGTTTTCACATGAGTGCTTTTCCAGAATCCAGAACCGGAACCACGGCCGTCCAGACACTGGCCTAGCCTCCCTCCCCGGGGCAGGGCTTCCCTGGGCTGCCCTGATGCGCTCCACGAGGTCCGCAGACTATCCCTTCTGCGCCAAGCCTGCGTTTTCCCTTCTGTACAGTCGAACAATGACACCCCCTCCCCCAGAGCTGAGCCTGAGACCATGTGACCTGCAACGGGACCGTATTTGGAAACATTTTCTGAGGATAAAAAAAAAAATCAACTCAAATCTGGAGATGAGATCATCCTGCCGCTTGTCGGGGCTGAGACGCCAACAGCAGTGTCCTTGAAAGAGACGGGAGGATGGGGGCTCCTAGGAGCAAGTAGGACTGGAAGGGGAGAAGGAGGAAGTACTTCAGCCCCAGACACTGTCTCTCTTAGCCTGCGTCCCTGCAAGCAGAGCGCCCCCCACCTCCGTTCCAAGGAAAGCACGTGTGATAACAAAGAAAAGAATATCGAAGCCTGTAGCCACATGATTCCGGAGAAACTTAGGAAACTACAGGGCTTGCAGAATTTGCCAGAATTGACTCATTTTTTACTGATTCTTCCCATTGCCTGACATTTAAAGGCCTGAATTCACGAGAGGAAAGTGTGGGGAGGGATGAAGGAGAGACGGGAGTCACTGAGCCACTGAGCGGTTGCGGCCTCTGCTGTGGAAAGGCACCGCCATACAGGGCTTAAAACTTCTGCCTCGTCGTCCAGTTTAAAGTGACAGCGGGCTGAGCCACCGAGACAAGGAGGGGACCTATGTTAGTGCCACCTGGTGAGTATTCTTGAGAAGAGTGCTTCCCTGAAGGAGGAGCTGCAAAGAAAGGGGAGCTCTCCAGGCTGAGGCAGCTCCAGAGAGGTTGACCAGGGAGCGGAGCAACCACGGGTCACACTACCAAAAAGGCTCCAGGGTGTTGCCCACAGCCCCAGATGAGTTCCCAGGACGACACAGAGCCCCATCCCACACAGCACTCCCTGCCCAAGATTCCCCTGAGGCTGTAGCTGGCTGCCACACAGTTCACACACTGTGCCTTCTGGCTTCTGGACCACAGGGACTAATTTTAACTGGCCCTCTGATTCATGCCAGAGCCCCGGAACCGCCCCTAGCTCCAGCCATTCCTTGGACGGCTGGAGCTTCACCAAATGCTCCAAGCTTAAAATCGTTCCCAATGAGCTCACACTCAATCCCTCTTTTAAAAACCTCATTCTTGACCAACCCACTCCACAAACTTCCCCACCCCGCCAGACTGGTCATCTTGGGGTTTCCAGATGCTTCTGCTTCCCCAAGTGTACACTAATTATCCCTCAGTGCCCCCACCATCAGAGCTGTTACTCCTCCATCTGCCCCTTCACCTGCCCCTCCTGCCCCTGACCATCTCCTACTCTTTGCCAAGCACAACCATGAGTAGCAGCAGATGTTTTCCGTTCTCCAGCAATGCCCACGGCAGCAGTGTGGTCACCCACTTCTGGCCTCATCCCCCCGGCCCAGAGAGGCCTGTCTTTGTCCTCCCTGCAAGTGTGCAGAGCTGGCTAGCTAAATCAGTTCATAGTCCTCTCAGAGGGGTCTCTAAACCTCTTACTTGGTTCTGAGCACTTCTCTTCTTCCATTTTGGCTTCACCCAGAAGACCAGAGGTTTTTGGTGCCCCTGGAGAAGGAAGATAGGTTCCCTGAATGTCACGTGGAGCGGAGCCTCCTCTAGAGCTGGACGGTGACATAAATGAGGCCTGGTCACTGAGGCTGATGTGACTGTGACTGGGGGCTGTTTGTTACAGCAGAATGCTCTGCCTCCTGCTTCCTCCCACAGAGCCTCAGCAGCACCTCTGCCAGGCTCTCTCCTTTGTCCTCACAGTGCAGATCAACTCGTCATCACTCTCCTCCCTGCCAAGACTCCATGGTCCTTGAAGTCTCTTCTTCCTGCCAGTTCCTCTGCTTTAGCATCCTCAGGGCCTGTGCCGGTTAGTTTTGTCTTGTTTTTGTTAAGCTGACTCAAGCTGGGGCCATCTGGGGCAAGGGAATCTTGGTTGAGAAAATGCCTCCACCAGGTAGTCTGGCCTGTAGGGAGGCCTACGAGCCTTTTTCTCGAGATCAGTGATCAATGTAGAGGGTGGAGCCCACTGTGGGTGATGTCACCCCTGGGCAGGTGGTCCTGGGTTGTATAAGAAGGCAAGCTGAACCAGCCAGCCCCTGCTCAGTTTCTGCTTTGTTTTCTCTGGATGATGGGCTGTAATCTGTAAATCAAACATATCTCTTCCTGGATAAGTTGCTTTTGGATTTAGCATAGCAACAGAGTGCACACTGAGACAAGGTCCTTCCTTCTTGTCCCTTCTGTACACTGATAGACCCTACAGCTTACATCCAAACCTGTGCTCTGTGGGGCAAATGGGGACATCTCCAAATTGTTGAATAAACCCCAGGTTGTTCTGGGATACAACTTGGGTAGGGAACAGAACAACCACCCCTGCCCCCCTTGGATGACAGAGTAAGACTGGGGGAGGGGCTAAGTTCAGAGACGCCCCAGCCCTGCACATGGGCTCTTTCCCATCGTAAATGTATCCCAGGATTCTGTATTGCAGAGTGGGTTCGATTTTGGAGGTGCAAGTCTAAGTGGCCCAAGGATACCCTGTCCCTTTTTCTTCCGAGATCCCCACCCATGGGAAGAGCTTTGGGGAGTAGGTCCTGGGTTTTCCAGAGGACAGAAGTCCAGAGTGGAGGAGCTGGGGACCTAGCGGAGGACACCCCGTTACACGTGGACGCTGCCAACCCAGGACGCGCTGGCAGCTCAATGCCACTGCGGTGGCTGAGCAGACTCTGCCAGCCGGCCCCGGGCCTGCAGGACTCCTAGTAACGCACGCCATCTGTTGGTGAGTCATTCACCCTGACCGCTCCGGCTGCTCCCCCGCCCCCTCACTCTGCCACGTGGTCGCTCTCTCCTCTGCAGAACCAGCACCACCGCCTTGGCCACGTCCCACTGCAGGCTCTTAAGTGTCTTTCTTGCCCAAACCTATCCATAGTTTAAAAAACCTAATAGACCCTGGCTGTAATTTCATGGCCGAGAGCGCATGCTTCTGCCTCTGTCACTAGTTAAGAGAGTGTGTAGGAGGTGGGCTAGGCTGAGACAGACCGCAAGGTGTGAAAGGGAATTTTTGGGGTGGTGGTGACAGTGTCCTAGGTCTTGATCGTTTGGGTGAGCCAAGGGTGAGCGTTACTGGGAAGAAACTTAAATGCAAGCCTGCCTTGCTTCTCATCTGGAAAGCCTGGTGAAGCATCACACAGGAGGCAACCAGAAGCCTGCAGTTAGGCATCACCTGGAGACCAGATCCCTTCTAAAATATGACTGCTGGTCCTTGTGTGAACATCACACAGATGGAGTAGCCTACTACCTTTTCACCTAAGGCAGTGTTCCGCAAACTCAGCTACATAGGTATATAAAATAACAAACAATATAGCTGCTGATTGCCTCTGACCCTTGAGTGACACCGCACCTTTCCGCAACCCTCTCTGTGCTGGTCATTGTCGCGGTTCACAGGTATCTCGGCTAGGCAGGGCTTCCCTCCATCGGCAGCTTGCACAGTGTTTTCTGGAACCACGGACACTCGACTGCAGGAAAGAGACTTTCAGGTCAGATCCAGTTCAAATCTTCCAAGTCCTGTGTCCTAAGTGTGTGGTGTCTTCAGCCACAGATGCCAAGATTCTCAACCCCTGAGAGGAAACCAAGGGCTCCATGGATAATCTCTATGGTTTGGGGAGTTGCCAGGGCTAACCTGAGCAACCGTTTGAAAGGCTTATTATACCTACTATTGCAGTTTTTGTTCGTCTGTGGTTCTTGCGGGGGCGTATGCTCGGCCCAAGAGGTCTAACTTCCTTTAGAATATATTTATGTTACATGTAATTTTTAGGTGAATATAAAATAATATGATTCCATGGGACTTTGTTAAACCACCTCGGTGTCATTTGTTCCCACTTCTTCTCTGTACACATTTCCCTTCCCCATCCCCCGTCAGAGCCCCTCCCTATTTTCCCGTTTTCCACCTCACATCCCCCGCCGATGCTCCCTTTAGTCTTCTCAGCTGTCTGTGGTTACTCCGTGTGTGCTCACACCTGCAGGTTTGGAGCTGGGAACCTCAGATGACAGAGAACACGCGGCATTCGCTCTCTGGGTCCGGGTTATCTCCCTTAAGATGATCCTTTCTAGTACCATCTATTTAGCTGAAAATTTCATGGTTTCATTTCTCTTTGCAGCCAGACAATATTCCACTGTGTTTATTGTCACATTTTCATTATCCATGGATCTGTTGAAGGGCAGTTAGGTTTTCCTCATTTTTTTATTTTTCCATTTCCTGACTTGTAAATAGGGAGGCAGTGAACACGGCTGAGCAAGTGTCTGTGGCGTAGGATGTCTTCCTTTGGACATGTGCCAGGGAGTTCTACCCCTAGGTCATATGGCAGGTTTAGTTTTACTTTTTGAAGATTCTCCGCACTAGTTGCCAGAGTGACTGCGCAGATGTGCATTCCGCCCACGGTGACTGAAGGCGCCTCTTTCTCCACAATGTCGCCAGCATTTGCCATCGGCTGTTTGGCTGAGCTTAGGCCTTCTGAGTGGAGCGAGCTGAAATCTTACAGCTGTTTCCGTTTGTATTTCTCTGATTGCTGAGGATGATGAACACATTTTGAGGTATTCCGTGGCCATTCTTATTCCTTCTATTGAGGACTCTCTGTTTCGATTCCTAGCACATTTGTTTTTGATTTTTCTATATATTTTTATTGATATTTATTTAGCTCTACATTTTTCTCTGCTCCCCTCCCTGCCTCTCCCCTCCCCCTTCAACCCTCCCCCAAGGTCCCCATGCTCCCAATTTACTCAGGAGATCTTGTCTTTTTATACTTTCTACTTCCCATGTAGATTAGATCTATATAAGTCTCTCTTAGTGTCCGTATTGTTGTCTAAGTTCTCTGGGATTGTGATTTATAGGCTGGCTTTCTTTGCTTTATGTTTAAAAACCACCTATGAGTGAGTACATGTGATAATTGTCTTTCTGGGTCTGGGTTACCTCACTCAAAATAACGTTCTTTAGGTCCATCCATTTTCCTGCAAAATTCAAGCTGCTGTTATTTTTTTCTGCTGTGTAGTACTCCATTGTGTAAATGTACCTCATTTTTATAATCCATTCTTCAATCTAGGGACATTTAGGTTGTTTCCACGTTCTGGCTATGACAAACAAAGTTGTTATGAACATGGTTGAGCACATGTTCTTGTGGCACGGTTGAGTATCCTTTGGATATATACCCAAAAGTGGTATTACTGGGTTTTGAGGAAGGCTGTTTCCTAATTTTCTGAGAAATCACCACGCTGATATCCAAAGGGGTTGTACCAGCTTGCATTCCCACCAGCAATGCATAGTGTTCCCTTTTTCCCACAACCTCTCCAGCATATGTTGTCATGAGTGTTTTTGATCTTGGCCATTCTTACAGGTGTAAGATGGAATCTCAGAGTTGTTTTGACTTGCATTTCTCTGATGACTAAGGATGTTGAACATTCCCTTAAGTGTCTTTCAGCCATTTTGGATTCCTCTGTTGAGAGTTCTCTGTTTAGGTCTATACTCCATTTTTTTTTATTGGATTATATGATCTTTTGGTGTTCAATTTTTTAAGCTCTGTCTGATGTGGGGTTAGTGAAGATCTTTTCCCATTCTGTAGGCTGTCGTTTTGTCTTGTTGACCGTGTCCTTTGCTTTACAGAAGCTTTTCAGTTTCAGGAGGTCCCATTTATTAATTGTTTCTCTCAGTGTCTGTGCTGCTGGGGTTATATTTAGGAAGTGGTTCCCTGTGCCAATGCGTTCAAGTGTATTTCCCACTTTCTCTTCTATGAGATTCAGTGTGGCTGGCTTTATGTTGAGGTCTTTGATCCATTTGGACTTGAGTTTTGTGCATGGTGATAGATATGGGTCTATTTTCATTTTTCTACGTGTTGATACCCAGTTATGCCAGCACCACTTGTTAAATATGCTTTCTTTTTTCCATTTGATATTTTTTGCTTCTTTATCAAATATCAGGTGTTCGAAGATGTGTGGATTGATATCCGGGTCTTCTATTCGGTTCCATTGGTCCTCCTGTCTGTTCTTAGCCAGTACCAGGCTGTTTTCAGTACTGTAGCTCTGTAATAGAGTTTGAGGTCAGGGATTGTGATGCCTCCAGAAGTTCTTTTATTGTACAGGACTGTTTTGCCTAGCCATTTTCAATTGTCATTTGTTTCCTTGTCTTTTTGTTTTTGAGGCCTTTGCATATCCTGGATATTAATCCCCTATTTGGACGTAAGGTCCATTCAACAGGCAGGGAATCATGCCAGTTTTCCTGGAGCTACTGAGGCCATGGACATTAGAAGAGAAGCTGCTACCACCATTTTGCTAGACCAGCATAATTCCTTTCCGCATTCTAAAGCTTTCTTGTTTTATTTTGTTTTTCAAGAAAGAATTTTTTTTGTAGTCCCTGGAGTCCTAGAACTTGCTCCGCAGACCAGGCTGGCCTTGAACCCAGAGATCCTCCTGCCTCTGCCTCCCTAGTGCTGGGATTAAAGGTGTGCACCACCACTGCCCAGTTCTACATCCTACATTTTACGCTTGTGCCCACAGATAAGCGTCGCTCCTACCCCTCACCAAGGAAGCCTCTCTCTACAGCACATGGAGACCATCACCGAAAACCACACTGATCACGATACAGAGGTCAATGGATGGAGGGAAGCCAGGCCCAGAAGATACATATAACTCACAGCTATGTCTCGGGGAACATCGCAGAGGACCAGAAGTCTGCTGGGAAACAGGCCCTACTAGAAATGGGTGCATACACAAGATCAGGACGATGGCTGTATCGCTGGAAACGTTCACGTGAAAGGGGGAGTTTTTTTGCAGGGTCCCAGCCCACAGAAAGAACTGCAGGCAAATAATGGCTGCTGGGAGTGAGAGTATTAGCCTGTCTCAAGAGCAAGCCTCGAAACCACATACACGCCACCAACATAAACAGACTCGGCAGGTTATGTTCACATACACCTGTGCATACACATACAAACATACACACACACACACACACACACACACACACACACACACACACACGTATATGTATGTAACAATGATAATAAAAGAAAAAGGCTCTCAACTTGAGAGTGGGAAGTGTGGGAGGGTTTCTAGAGAGCCTGGGAGGGGCTGGAGGGAGGAAAGTTATGAAATGCTATTACAATTAAAAACATGTTTTAAAAATTAAAAGGCAAAAAATAAACTAGCTATACAAACCAAGCATTTAATGAAGACAAGTCATAAAGACATTTATTTTTAAAACAATCCTTTAGGGCTGGGAAGATGGCCCAGTGGTTAAGAGCTCTTGTGCTCAGGCATTAGACGCTGAGTTCAAATACCCAGCACCCACAGAAAAGGCCGGATGTGACTATAGGTGTAACCCAGCATTGTGGAGAGGGAGACAGGAGAATCACTGTGTTCAGTGAGAGACTCAGCCACCGAGGTTGGGGGTCATAGAGCAGACCTCTGGCATCCACCTCCAGCCTCTGTGCTCAGGTGAGTGGATGAGCATGCACGCATGCACAGACATACACACAAGTGCACAAGCACATTCATGCACACACACACACACACACACACACACACACAAGTGCGCACACACGCAGAACCCAGTAGATGCTTTTCACAGTGCACTTCCAAACAAAAGAGAAATGAATAGAATCTTATGAGACCCTATTATCTGGAATTTGGTGCCACCCATATCCAAGCTCTGTCCTAACCCACCAACCCAGATCTAGCTTTAGTCTTTGTGCTGGGTTTACGTGAGCCAAAACTTTTCAAAAAGGTATCTGAAATAGAAGGGTTTATTGAGCCATTTTAGATGTTATCCAGAAAAAAAAAAATGACCCTAGGACAGGTCCTAGCAGCAGCGGGGAAGGTGTCTGCTGAGCCCAGAGCGAAGGGGATTGTTATAGAGAAGTTGGAGGCAGGGAAGTGTTGGCAACAATGAACCTGTGGTGCTATAGGTAGATAAAACAGACAGGGGAAACTGGGTGAGCGGCAGTCCTGGGGGAGTGGAGACTGCTGCCCCTGACCTGCCTGGTAGGGCTGCCTGGAAGCTCAGACGTGAATTTTCAGGGCAGGAGGCTCTGGAGGTCAGCTGTGACAGGGTCTAAGCCAAGGTCACTGTACCTTCAGGGATGTGAGACAATCTCTTTGCATTTTGTTTGATTAATTTCCCACCCCCTTTCCCTTTCATGTAATTAGATGTAGAATATTCCAGAATTTTCCTTCTGACTTATCCTTTCTTCCTTCATTCTGCTCATTAAAACCTCCGACCAGGTCGCAAGATGGCTCAGTGGGTCAAGGCCCTTGCCACACAAGCCCGATGACCGAAGTCCTGTTCCTGGAGATCACACAAAGGTGAAAGCAGAGAACCAACTTCACACAGTTTTCCTCTGACCTCCACACAGGTTGCATGAAATGCATGACACCTCCCTGTATAATGTACACGTCACACACACATATATGCATGCACACCACATATATGTATACTCACAATACACACATATGTATATGTTGATCAGTCATGATCAGCACCTAATATCACAGTGTGCAGCTTTGAGTACCTACTACATTCCAGGCCTTGCTGAGTGTTGACACCTACTCCCTGTTTTAACATTCATGGTGAGGAGCTGGCGAGATGGTACCAAAAATAAGAGATTGTTATACAAGCATGGGGCCCTGAGTTCAGGACCCCAGAGCTCAGGTAAAAAGTCAGGCATGGCCACCCGTGCTTGTGACCTCAGTGCTGGGCTTGGGGGTGGCCACAGAGATAGGCTGATTGGGAGGGTTTGCTGGCCAGCCTAGCCCAATAGGAAAGTAACACGCTCTGGGGGTGAAAGAGCTTGTCTCAAGGGAACAAAGTGGAGAGCAGGACATCCTCCTCTGGATGCCACATGCATGCTTGCAGATGAATACACATATGCATACAATAGACACGCACAGACACGCATGCACATCCAGACATGTGGACAGAGGTTTCTGTCTGCAGCCGTTCAGTCCCAAAGAAACACACAGAGGTCAACATTAATTATAAACTGGTTGGTTTATTAGCTCAGGCTTCTTATTAACTCTTATATCTTACATCTTAACCCATAATTCTTGTCTGTGTTAGCCACGTGGTTTGGTCCTCAGCACATCTGGAATCTCCCACATGACAGGCAGGAACATTCACCACTTCATGGATGACATTTTCCTATCTGACTCAGATGCAGATACTTTAGAAAGAATGTTTGGAGAAGTAAACAAAGTTTTGCCTAAATGGGGATTACAAATTGCTCCTGAAAAAATACAAAGAGGAGATTCTGCCAGTTACCTGGGTTACAAAGTAGGTTTACAAAAAATTAGAACACAAAAGGCACAAAAAAAGGAGAGACCGACTGCAGACTGATCGTTTCCTCTTCCCAGAATTCTCCTGTTCTCATTGCCACACCTATACTTCCTGTCCGGCTACTGGCCAATCAAAGTACAAGTGACAGGGTACAGACCATTGTCCTACAGCACAGACACACACACAGACACACAAAGACATGCACATAAGCATACACACAGACATGCACACACACACAGAGACACAGACACACATAGACATACACACAGAAACACAGACACACAGAGACACAGACACACATAGATAAACACACAGAGACATTTGCATAAACACGTGCACACACATAATATTCATGATGGCACTTGAGAATGAACACCTTTTAAAATTCTCATTTTACAGATGGTGGAAGAAATGAAGTGGTCATTCTTTCTCTTAATGGCGGAAACATCTTAGAACAACACCAAAGCCAGGCAGCCATGTGACTCCCAAGCCTCACAACCCAGCTGAGCTGCCTTCATAGCTGTTCACACACAAGCTAAAGCGACTTTTCCTACACTCCATTAGGAAGCCCAGGGAGCACGTTTCTCTCTGCAGCCCCGAGAGCTTCACACAGGGCCAGTTCTGCACCCTCAAGTCCGCACTTGGCCACCAGGTCCTTCCACCCGGGGCTCACCTCCCTCAGTACCCACGCTCCCTCCTATTCTCAAACATCTCAGGCAACTGTCGCTCTGCCCACAAGCTGGGCACAGCCTGCCGGTCCTCCCATGGTTTCTGCCACAATATCTGCCTCACAAGAATTTGACTCTGAGACCCTGAGAGCCAGGAGTGTGTGTGACTCATCTTTTAACAACGTGGAATGCATTCCTGGCCAGGGATGGTGAACAGAATCTCAAGCAAGCACGGCAGTGACATTTCTTCTTGCTGCCACTAGATGGCAGCAGGCACCCCGTTGGCAACCACTAGGAAAGACCTTTTCTCTCTGGCCCCTGGGACCCTGGATGGAATCCATACACTAAAATAAGCATTCAGAACGCCCAGACCTGGTTCTTATTAGTGCTGCCAGGAAGATGAGGCGGCGAAGAGAACTAAGTCAGACCACCGCTGAGCCTGAAAGTCCGGATGTGGACACAGACGCCCTGGGTCCTGCCGTGCTTGCGGACCCTTAGCTCTGGGACTTTGAATAAAGTTCCTGACCTTTCTGTGCCTGTTTCTTCATGTATGAGAGTGGGGACTCTAAAAGCATTTGTCCCAGAGGACGGGCTATGGGAGGAGGGAGGGGGCAGCCGTGGTGTGCAAGCGTGGTGTGTTTGTGGAGTCTGTGCATGAAGGTAGATTCCCTGTGTAAGGCCATGTCTTGATCGAAGATCCTGCAATCTGACTGCTTAGAGCCCTGTGCTTCTGGAGAGTTGGAGTGTTGCAGATCCAAGGTCAGCCTTATCTTGGGATATCTTCCCTAACCTTAGCCATTTATCACCCACCCCTTTATATCTGATCATAACATATTTCTACTACCAAGGGAAACCGTTAGCTCCCCAAATCCCCACATCTAAGATTGTCTTCAGCTTTGAAATCTATGGTTTCCCAGAACATGCCTTGCGGGTCACCCTCACCAATGTGTTTGCTAAATGCCTTAATTCATTATTTTTGGTTTGTTGCCTGACTATAAAAAAAGTTAATGGAGCACATGTGTGGTAGTGGATGTGTGTAATTCAAGTGTTTGGTAGGTAGAGGCAGGAGAATGAGGAGTCCAGTGCTAGCCTGGGCCACATGAGACCCTGTCTCAAAAACAAGCAAGGAAACAAACACTTCACATAGCCATTCCATGATGAATAGTGTCACACCTACATATGTGTATGTATGTGTATGCCATACATGCATACGTGTATTGTGACATGAACCCACTCCCAACACTGTTCAGCTCTGTTTGGCTCAGAGACAACGGTCTAACTTCTTCTAGTGCTGTGTTTTGCACTCCTGAGTCTATAATCCTGGCTCTGGTGTACTCGCAGAGTAAAAATGGGGTTCTACTGGTCCAGATTGGCTGCACCCCAAAACAGAGAGGTAAGAGGTCTAAGCCTGCATTGGAGCCTGGAAGGTGAAGGCAGGGTGTGACCAGGGAAGCAGAGGAATGGGCAAGCCCTGGGATGAGGGACTGTGGAGGGGGCCGGGATCATCCAGGTGACAGGTTTGGCGGAGGTGGTAGAGGGTAAGACGGAAGAAGGTTGGTGACCTGGGCCACACCTGTTGACTGGTCCAAGCAGACCCTGTGTCCCTGCCAGCCTCTCCAATAAGCTCCTAAGGGCCTTCGGGGAAGGAGAAGCCTGCGTGTAAACTGTATTTTTAGCTCCGTGTGCGTCTCCTGGCCTCTGTGAGGCGCCTCCTTTGCTCTTAGCCTTGGTCGCTGGCTCAGACTCCAGAGGCTATCTGGGGAAAAGGTTGGCACAGCCAGTATGACAATGACTGGGAAGGACAGCCTCAGCCACGGGTGGTGAGCTGACGAGAGATCTGAAGAAAGCCTGTGGGTCCCCCCACCCCGTCAGTGTTTCCCAGTTCTGCCAACATCGGGTCTATTGTACCTGTGTCCTGGCCCGTGACAGCCAGAATGAAGGCTTGACCGGGGATGTGTCTGAGGTGAGGGAAGGAGAACTCAGGCGTAAGTCCTGCCCAGATCAAGGAGGAAAGAGTGAGGGGAACCCAGGTTTCAGGAGCCAGAGTGCTCACACACACCCTCCCCTGACTGTGTTCTCAGTATCAGAAGAGTCTGAAGGAGTCATCTCTTGCCCTTGCAAGAGAAGCTTGTCGGTTGCCCAAGGGCTGTCAAATTCCCAGGTAACTAGAGAAGTTTAGGGCCTTGAGTAAGGCCAGGTTTGCAGCTGCCGAGGTACATAACTGCCCAGTGGGCACTGACAGACTGGACATGGAAGCCCATCTCCTGCCCCAGACTGAGCATCTAGTTGTCCTTGTCTGGTGTGGTGCTCAGAATTCTCAGAAGGTGTGGTCTGGACAAAAAAAAAAAAAAAAGTTAGGTGAGTTTTTAGCCTCCAGCCCCTCCCCTTGCTGTGTGAGACCCTGCAGACCCTCTACAGTCCAGAAGAAAGCAAAGTTCAAGCAGGAGAGTGAGTGGCACACAGGCGTATTTGGGGTCAATATAGTGTTTGGACATCTCTGAATAGTGTTCACTGACCCTAGAAGCATTTGAGCAGCAATCAGATGGTGACATTGAGTGGGAACTGGGATGGTGCACATTAAACAGTCTCTTTAGTGCTTAGTCACCATGGCCCTGTCATTCTAGATGTCTCCATCCCTAGATGTCTATGCCTAGAATCTAGAAACCAAGGTTCTAGAGAGGTTAAAAATGAAAGAGAGAGAGAGAGAGAGAGAGATAAAGAAAGAAAGAAAAGTTCTTGTGTACCAAGAACTTTTGTCCATGAATCTTGAGATTCGAGATTCTGAAGGCTTGAGATGGGTTTTACTAGCCTCACAATTGGGGATGCAAACACTCTGGGATGGTTGGAGAGTGGGCTGACTGGTAGTTCAGCTTGTCCCATGGGTGTCTAGCAAACTCACATGTGTACACGTGTGACAAGAGTGTGTAGAAATCAGGCTGTTGGGAGCTTTGCACACCAAGGTATCCTGGCCTCCTTACGGTGGGTCTGCAGCCTCCTAGCCTGGCCAGGGTCCAGCTGTCACAGGGAGACTAGCAGGTATCAAATGGAGGGGTTGGCTCTGGATCTCCATAGCAACCGAGAGGCGAGCTCCATTGTGGCAATGTGTAAGTACACACAGTTGAACATTGTACTGACTGATGTTGTGTGTCAACTTGACACAAGCTAGAGTCAGCAAAGGGCGAGCTCCGGTAGAGGAAAAGCCTCGATGAGATCCAGTTGTAAGGCATTTTCTGCCATTTAGTGGTCAATGAGTGAGGGCCCAGCCCATGGTGGGTGGTGCCGTCCTGGGCTGTTGGTCCTGAGTTCTATAAGAAGGAGGACTGAGCAAGCCAGGAGAAGCAGCTCCCCTCCATGGTCTCTACATCAGCTCTTGCCTCTGGGTTCCTGCCCTGTAGTTCCTGTCCTGACTTCCTTCAGTGAAGAACAACAATGTTGAAGTGTAAGCCTAATAAACCCTTTCCTCCCCAACTTGCTCTTCGGTCATGGCGTTTCCTCGCAGCAACAGAAACCCTAACTAAGACAGCATGCTTCCCCGAAAGCTTAACGGTAAAGCTTTAAAAAAAATCATCCACTTCAGAGCCACAGGCTTCCCCAGGCAGGCTGGCTCATGGGACACCTGCCAAACTAGAGACAGCTTCCAGTTAAATACCTCAGCACCACTGAGGTACTGATGACGGTTTAACTACCGGGGCTACCACCAGACAACTCTGGGAAGCTGGAGACAGAGCAGAGCTGGGTGGTACTGCCCTAATGAGCCCTAGTAGGCCAATCCCTGGGAGCTGCTCCTCAGGGACACACAACAAAGTGTGAGTCCCTCACAGTGTCCCACTGATGGAAGGAAGGACCTAGCTGCTGGTTCTAGCAGGTATGTCAAGGAGGTGAGCATGTGGTCTAAGTGGTCTGGCCAGCCTGGGACAGCTGACTTCTTTTCTTCTGCCTTTTCCTCCTGACCCAGAACTCATCCCCTCAGAGATGCGGAGGGGTAGGAAGTGGAAGAGGGCCAGTTCCTCTAAGGCCAGCACCGACTAGGCCAGGGATAGAGAATGAACACAGAGACAGATAAATGACACATGGACATTCACTCTGGAGCCCATATCTTTGAACCTGCTTCATCAGCTTGGGCCTTGGTGGCGGGCAGCCTAGGTAGGCATCAGGCATGAGCAAGAATGATTCTTGCCTTTTATTCCTCCCTACAAGCAGCTGCTGTTGCAGAAGAACACCGGTGGAAACCATGCTGTCATCTCTGGGAATATGTTTTGTGAATGGAGCTTGTTATGGCAGGCCCCTTGGAGAATTCTGCCTACCTGCCCAGGACCTGCAGAGGTGCCACTCCTCCCAGGACTGTGGAGGTGATGCTCCAGCCCAGGACCTGTGGAGGTGCCGCTCCAGCCCAGGACTGCGGAGGCAATGCCCCTGAGCCTCAGACAGCTCTAACTTCTGCTGTGCCTATTCCTATGGTGATTCTTAGTTTTATTTTGTCAGTTGTGATTATGGCTGAGTTTACTGGGAACAAAAACTGATAATTTTTCTAAAGTTTCTTCAAGGAAATTAAGCCTTTTTGCAGTCTACCACAAAAACCAGTTCATATTGTTGTCCCTGGCAGTCTTTGTAGTCACCCTGAGAGATAACTATATTCCAAGAACTTAGGAACTTTACTTTTCTCTCTCTCTCTCTCTCTTTTTTTTTTTTAGACAGGGTTTCTCTGTGTAGCCCTGACTGTCCAGGCTGGCCTCAAACACAGAGATCTGCCTGCCTCTGCCTCCTGAGTGCTAGGATTAAAGGCACACTCCACCACCACCCAGATAAGAGACAATTTCTTAAAAGATGACATTTAAAAACTTGTAAGGACATATAAGGAGAAGATAAAGGATGTGAAAGGTCAGACATCTGTCAGGTGCCAGGGAATAAATTTATTTCATTTATTTCAGTGCCAAAATATCAATCTGGAGTTCCTAGTCCCCTTGGGAATAAAGGAACAGGTAGAAACTTCAGGAAGAATAGAAACTTGGGCCTAAGAGCTAAGAGTCAGGCATTATAATCACTGCCATTCAGAGTTTGTATAAAGAACAGGATTCCAAGAGCGGCTCACACAAAGGTGATATGCAGGCCATTTAGAAAATGACTTATACCTGTAGACATGTTCTAGGTATGTTTTCCTGCTCTCGGCTAACTACACAGATATACAAGCATCCTACCATTAAAGACTAGCCAGAGGGCCTGAGTATCTCCCATTTCTCTAACCACGTTTGCTGCCAACCTGGGCACAGTACAAATAAGATGTGCCTGGCTAGTTATAATCATTTCACTTACAATATAAAATTAATGCTTAGATACAGGGTAGAAGGTCAGTTAGTGACGTCGAGGGAGCGGGGAAGAGAAAAAGGAACTAAACTGGGTAAATGTTAATGACTCTTGGGAAATGGCTAGAGAGGAGAAATGAATTGAAGCTGCCCATGCATGGACACATTGGAACATGCGTGAATGAGGCAGCTCGAGCCATTGGGGCCCTCTGTTTGAAAGACAACCAGTGG